GAACAATGATGATCACTAAATTGTCTGGATGGGAACAAAAGCAAGATGGTGTGGTGGTTAGATTTCTGCCTTGAATCACTGGGTAGCCAGTGGTACCATTAGTTCAGGCCAGGCCTGGGGTAGTGTGTGTGTGTAGGTATGTTGAGTGTAGGTATGTTGAATTGGCCTAGGGGAAGGAATCTGTGACCCTAGTTACCCTGGATGTGAGGCTAACAGTCATAAATTCAAGACCAGCCTTGGTAACTTAGTGTGACTGTTTCAAAATTAAAAACAAAAACAAAAAGGTGAGTGTCTGGGAATAAGTTTAAGGTAGGGTACTTTTTTTTTTTGCCCAGCACACAAGAACTTCTAAATAGTAGTAATGGTGGGGGGAGGTTGTTGGTACCTAGTACCCAACATTATGAACACATAAAATTTCACCTTGGCTCAGTTGGTAGAGCAGCAGCCTAGCATACCCAAGGACCCTCACTTTCATCCACAGCACCACATACACCTGTCTTTTGCACGCCTATAATCCCAGCACTTGGGATGCAGAGGCAGGAGGATCAGAAATTCAAGTTCAGCCTAAATAGTTTGGGGATAGCCTGGGCTACATGAGTCTCTTGCTCCCCCCCCCCCCCCAATCTCAGGAAAGAAGGTAGGTAGGTAAGAAAGTGGAGCACAGGAGAGGATCCCAGAACAGAACACCCACCTGGAGTGATATCTCACTGAAGCTAGTCAGAGACCACAGGGAAAAACCACTAGGTAGGGATGTGCAGGCACGTTGTCTGGGAGGAAGAGAAGAGGGTGGAACCTGGGTAACTCTTCCCTGGCTTCTGGAAAGGTTCCACCAGCCACTGCTATGGGATCCCTGATCACACTGTGACTGTAAAACTCCTAGATTGTGTTAATAAAATTAGCCTTGGATAGGGGCAGAGCCCATGACTGACAAGAATTAGCCATAGAGAGTATGGAGGACCCAGGAATATGGATAGAGAGATGCACAGGAAGGACCAGGAAGGGACTTAGAGATTCGAAGGCTTTTTTGGTTTGGGGATGGCTGGAGCGACGCTCTCTGGCTGAGCCTCCCACTGAAAAGGAAGGCCAACTGGTTGTTTCTCAGCTTCTTTGATCTAGCAGGTTTTCACCCAACATCTGCCCCCCAGTCTTTACTGGTAAATAGAACAACATAGATGAAAACAACAGTTTGTGTACCCTGAATGTACTTAGTGGATTGTGGTCCTCCAACCTTTAGGAGGTCTGCCATATATATGACATTTAAAATGTCTTAAGTTTTCTGCAGTGAATCATGGCCATTCCTAACAGTGACTTTTGATGACAAATCCATCTAGACTCTGGTAACGCCATTAATCTGACAAGCACCACACAAAGATCAGGTTTGGACTGCACACTGCTCAGGACATCTTCAAAGCAGCTAGCTGAGATGGTCCAGCCTCACAGACTACTCCAGCCAGGACTTAAGATAAGCTCTGCACTTCCCCATCACACCACAGCTGGACAACAGCTGGCTCTCCCAGGACTTGACAATTATCTCAGTTTCGTCAGGGTCCCCTAAAGATGCCATCGTCCCCAAATAACAAGAAGTCATTTTAAGGATAAGATGCCCACATTCCCAAGAGGTGGGATGAGTGGGTTTTGGTCATTCAGTGGGTTATAGATGTTTGTCATTGTGTAGGGGTGTTAGTTGCTAGCTATTATTGGTCATGGTTAGAGAGGAAACTAACAAAAGAGGTTAGATTCAGGAATCTCTATGAAAAGAGAAAAAGAGGGGTATAGGACTAACAGGATAAAAGGAGAGATTATTGAATTTACTTTTATACTAAAAAGCAACTACTAGTCTCAAATATTTTACTTTGGATAGATTTTTTTTATATATTTTATTTATTTATTATGTATACAATATTCTGTCTGTGTGTATGCCTGCAGGCCAGAAGAGGGCACCAGACCTAATTACAGATGGTTGTGAGCCACCATGTGGTTGCTGGGAATTGAACTCAGGACCTTTGGAAGGGCAGGCAATGCTCTTAACCACTGAGCTATCTCTCCAGCCCTTTGGTATAGATTTTTATATATTGATACAAATTTAAGGTTATTTTTGTTATAATATACTTATGTTTCTGTTCTTATTTAAGGTATGGTACCTATGAAACTCATTTTAAAATAAAATGTAAAGTTCTAGTCCTTGAAAGGTATGATTACAAACTGTTTAGGATAATTAAAAAAATTAAGGCTAGGCAAGGTGGTAGTGGCTCAGGCTTTTAATCGCAGCACTTGGGAGGCAGAGGCAGGTGGATCTCTGTGAGTTCAAGGTCAGCCTGATCTACAGAGTTAGTTCCAGGACAGGCTCCAAAAGCTACAGAGAAACCCTGTCTTAAAAAAAAAAAAAAAAAAAAAAAAGGTTAGTAGTTGGTAATCTATAACAATCAAACTTTGTAGTCATTTTAGGTATGTTTTCAGGGTTAAACATGTATGAGATAGATAGGTGGTCTTCAAACAATTCAGAGATCTACAGAACATGGCATTTAAGATGTTTTAATAACGTAAGGCTTTTCATGACAGTGAGATACATCTGCTCCTGGCAGCACCAATCTAATTCAGGAGAAGATGGTGGGCATCAAAGAACCTCCATGTGGAATTTGTTTTCATTGTGGAAAAGTTAACCACTGGACAAAAAACTGTCCTTGCCTCAACTGTGGACAATACGCTGCCTAAACTGAACAAGCAGAACACAAAGGAAGTTGTTGTAAGATATTTATAGTCTGATACATTTGAGAAAGCTTGCTATAGGAAGTTGACTGCTGGAGTTTTCCAAGATAAGATAGGTCAGTTCTTCAAAATTCCAGCTTCACAGAAAAGTCTGACAGATATCCTAGGCCTGTAGGCTGAAGATGGACGGCCCAGTGTTGCAGAGAAACCTTGACTGTCCTGGAAACCAGCTCTGTCTGTCATTTCTATAGTTTTGGATGTTGCATGCCCTGTTCTTCCTGTTTACTCAGGTAACATTTTATCCTTCTCTAGTCCCTGGTAGGGGGTGAGTACTAAATAGTTACATCATTTTCTTTGTTACCAAATTCAGAAAAGTAACCAACAAAAGAGGTGGAAGGTTTATAAAGTTGAGAGACATAAAAGCTTAAGTTGTTTATCTAAAAAAAAATGTTTTAAGGTCTAAAAAGGTTATTTTTAGGTTGATAATACAAATTATGATAGAAAGTAGTTTAGATATTAAACTTTGGATTCACCAAGATAGGATAGATAATGGAGTATTTTCTCCAAAATTGCCAAATACAAATGAACTGGACATTGTGAATGTAATTCTTCAATGGCAATTATTCTTGTTGCATATAGTTTTACTATGTGAAGAGTTAAAATCTTCCCTTTTTATTTGACAATACCTGATAATTGTTACAATTGTATAGTTCTTATTTTATATAGTTTTACTATGTTAGAGTTAAACCTTTCTTTTTTATTTAGACAAAAGGGGGGAAACATTGCATTCGGTCACTATAAAATCAGATCCTCAGTAGTTAATGTTGGCTTCTCCCATCGGCTTTCCCATACCCTAGCCCTACCTTAGCTCACGCCTTCATCCTTTTGATGCTGGTCACTGGCCTAGCTCTATACCTCTGGCTAGACTGACCTCATCAGAGGCTCATTTAGAACCCCCTTGCCTTTAATCACCCGACCGATAAACCACAATGTATTAAGGGCCTGCTCTTGGCCAAGTCCTATCTAGACACAGGGATCTAACCATGAACAAGAGGCATATCCCTGTCCTGCAGAGTTTACCATCCAGTGGGGTACACAGGCAAAAGGATTGGGGGGTGGGTTCTCAGAGCCCATGCATGGAGCTCATGGCCCTGATATGACTCCTTAGAAAGAATTCTTGAAGAGTTGATACCAGACTGAGACCCAAAAGGCAAAAGACAATAAAAGGACTTGTCATCAAGGCAGGAAATGGGGAGTGACGAAATGCAGTCCCTAGAGGGTTTGGGAACTTCCTGGCTGGCCATCCCCCATACAGATTCACAACTGGCATTCCTTCAACCTGCCCTACTCCCACAGGTCCCAAGACCCACTTCAGACGGTGGCCTCTCTAAGAGATTCCCATTCCAGTCCTTGGTGGCCTTAAGGCTTACCCTTCCTGAGTACTCTCGCATTTTCTAGAATTGTATTTGACCCATTCCTTCACAATAGGGGAATCCAGGAAGAGTTGCCAACTGCGTCCTTCATTCATCTTGGTGGTCCCAGGCACCTGCTTGGGTCAGGTCTGTTGTGGACATTCAATAAAAGGGCTGAATGGGGAGAACCCTTTCTTCATACACACCTTTGTTGGAGAGACTGAAAAATGACTGGGCTAGGGAGTGGTCAGAGATCTGTGGAAGCGGTCTCTCACAGATCAGGTCGGCTTAAAGCAGGTCTGTCCTCCCCCTCAGGCTGATTTCAAATGAAGACCCTCCTGCCTCAACTTCCCCAGTGTTGGTTAAACCAGCTGAGTCATGCCCAGCTTCAAGGACTGCTCTCAAGTATGGTGTTTTTAAAAAAATTCAGTCTTCAAACTGGGACAGGTAGAGTACACCTTTAATCCCAGCACTCTGGGGGCAGAGGCAAGACGGTTTCTGTGAGTCCAGCCTGATTTACACAGTGAGAAGAAAAAGAAAGTTCTATCTAGGCTCTCTGTTTTTAGAGGAGGCTGTGAGCAGGACAAACAACTTCCCTGGGCTTGTTCCAAGGAGTGAGAATTTTCTATAGCAACTCTCAAACCTGGGTCGAGGGAGTGGGCCGAATTCATCTTCTTTCTCCTATTTTGTTTACTCAGAGATCACTGCATCTCCATTGGCCTCCGCTCCGGAGAACCTCCGCGGTCCCCTTCTCAGCACAGGTCTCCAGCTGTTGAGGCCTGGCTGGACCAGCTGCTGGGAGGAGGAAAAAACTCGGTCCCTCCCTCCTTCTCCATCTCCCCACCCTCCCTCCTCCCCCGCCTGCTCGCGCCCTCCCTCCCTTTCTCCTCCGCGGCTGTCGGGTGGCTTTCGCAGAAGCGAGTGGCGAGCGCCCTGCTCCAGTCCGGGCTGGGAACTGAAGTGTCGGAGCGGTGCTCCTGGAACCCGAGCTCCGGAGCGGCCGGCGCGGGTCGAAGGCCGGGGCGGCGCGCTCAGCTTCAGAGGCTCTGGCTCTGGACCGAGCGGGCTCGGAACTGCGCGGAGGGGCGGAACGCACTACCCGCCGGCCTGGCCCGCGCAGCAGCGGGGAGTCCGGGAGCCGGAGCGCGGAAGGCAGCACGGCGGCGGCCAGCCGGGGGCAGAGGGCAGAGTGCCGAGCGGCCTGGCTCGGCGAAGGGCGCCGCCCGGCCCGGCCTCAGCTCGGAGCCCACGACAGTGGCCAGCGGAGCCCGGCGGGCCGCGGGTCCTGAGCGCCTCCAGCCCACGGCGGGGGGCGTGCCTCCGCCTGGCCGCGCCGCCCCGCTGCCCGCCGCGTTGCCCGGGCATGTGAGCGGGAAGACCAGGCTGCTGGCCGCCGGGACGTACGGAGCAGGAGCCGGAGCGCGGAGCTGCGACCCCGGGCCAGCGCCTGACCGATTAGTAAGTGCGCCCCTCCGCTACGCGCGCCCCTCTCCCCAGCCTCGCGAAGTTTGACACGCGCGGCCCCGCGTTCCTGGGGACACGCTGGCTCTCTTCCGCCCGACTTTCCATCTTAGGCAAAGTTTTGCCAGGCGAAGCCGATCCTACAGGACCCCTCACAATGCCGTCCGGTGGCGCCGCGCTGACCCGAGTCCTTTTGGAGAGCAGTGGCTGCGAGCGGTTGGGGGTTGCGTGCGCGCGCCGCGCGAGCTGGGCTTAGGGAGTCTTCTGCCCGCCTGCCCTCTGCGACCCGCCGCCTCTAGGTCTTTCTCCTCCAGCCTGACCAACCCGCCCAGTTTTAGCATTTCCAGTCGGTGCTTAGACGTCCGGTGCGCGCCCCGCGTGGGGCTTGGGTGGTAGCGACGCGGAGCTCCGGTTCCTGGGTACGTGGGCCGCTGGGGTCCAGCGCGCACCCTTCCCACGGCTCGGGTTCATTCCCCGCGGACCAGTCGGGCGCCGCCTCCCGTTTTTCTGCCGTTGCTGCTCTTGTTCTCTCTCCACGCTAGCCTGCTCCTTGCCACCCCTGCCTCCCACGGTGGGGTGTCGGCGGAGCGCCTTTCACCCCGTTTTTCAAGGCAGAAATAAATTGAACACAGAGCTGGTGGGATGAGGAAGGAGGTGGTCGCTTAGTCCCAACGGTTCGCCATTGTTTTCCCACCCCACGTTCGGTACGTAAACACACACTCACGCGAGTGTATTTGTGTGTGCATGCGTGTGTGTGCACGCGCCGGCTGCGGCTGCCTAGATTCCCCAAGAGCTCTAGGGTCGCCCGCGAGATCTACCAGCAGCCAGCTTAGATGTCCTAGCAGGACATTGCTTGGAGCTGGGGGAGAGGGACGCGAGAAGTGGGAGTTGCCCCAGAGTCCTTGGCGGAGTCGAGAGTCTGGCTTGGGCTGGAAGTGAATTTTGAACTTAAGCCCTGGACCTTTCCGGGAGGACCCCGGGCGCTCGAGCGGCGGATCCCGCCTGGGAGGGTCCCCAGCAGCTGGCGCTCTTGGCAGCGATCTCCGTGACAAGGGCTTGGAGGAAGCCGAGGAGTTTTCCTGGGAAGTTTGCTTTAGCTCTGTGGGAATTTCCGGGCCCGGCGCCCCCGCGCTGGCGGAGGGGTCTGACCTACAGCAGTCAGAGATGCTGCTGCCGCTCGGAGCTGGGTTTCCTGAGACTCTGTTTCCAACCACTTCATGCCTTTTCCTCTCTGAGTGCTGGGTGGGATTCAGTACGCTTGGGTCTTGTTGCTCAGCGAGAGGGGCCACTTGAATTTGGCGATTTCCAAACATCTTCTGTACTTTCTCCAATTATAAAGGGCGGATTGTGCACCTATCTTTGAAACTGGCGTATGTTAATGGTTTGGAGGATGCTGTTTGAAAGATGTTAACCTGTACCACCGAGAGCCAGATAACCTAGTAGTTAGAACCAGAAAGCTGGAGTTGTACACACCGGCGCAGCCGCTGGTGGTGCCGCTCAGTATATAGGCAGTTTAACACAACTTTCTTGCTCAGGTTACTTATCTGTAAAATGTGGTTAAATTCTGACAATATCCACCTCGTGGGGGTCGTCTTGAAGACGAAAAGTCTTAGTATAGTCTCAGAACTCTGTGCAAGTAAATGCTAGGTGTTTGTTAACTGTTGGGTTCGGAGTGTAGCTTAGTGGTAGAGCGCTAGCCTGACGTGCAGGAAGTCCTGAGTACCAGTATGTGCGTTTGGGAAGTTAGCCGTTGTCTACTGTTATTATTAATTATATATTTTATTATTATTATTATTTGTTTATTTTTTGTCGATACAGAGTCTCTGTGTAGCTCTGGCTGCCCTGGTACGTCTTTTGTGGATCAGGCTGGCCTCAAAGTCAGATCGCCTGCCTCTGCCTTCCGAGTGCTAGGATTAAAGCCAGCTGTTGTCATTATTGTAATAACATTGTTATGGAGCCCAGGGCCTAGTTCATACTAGGGAAGCGACTCCATGGAGTGGCTTCTCCAACCTGGCTCATTACAATTTCAATGACTTTGTACAGAGCCCAGAAGAACTCTTTGGGATTGTGCCCATTTAATCAATTTTGGTAATTTTCACTTCCGGGGAGGAAGAGATCTCACAGTTCTTCCTACCTCTAATTGATTCTGATCCCTCAGATCAAACTTCTTGCCATTTGCCGGCCTCAACCTTGAGTATTTTTTCCTTCCGCCTTCCCTTTCTCAGTTTCTTTGTGCAAGGTATTTCAATACCTCCTTCCCTCATTCTTAAAAACTAATCTCGGCACCGCGAAGAATTTTCCCCGGGGACCACCCCAGGAAGGAAATGTCTCAAGAGGGGTTTCCTGTACACCCTGGTCTGTGCTACAGACTTGGGATTGGATGTGCACTTGTGTCTCAGGGACTGGATGGATTTCCACGGAGAGGAACCCAGGTGTCTTGGGCTCAGGGAAAGTCAGGTGGGACAGGCAGGCTGCCTGCCCTGGAGGGTTCTGTTCCCTAGCTAGTATCTGTTTCCTGTTGCTGGGGCTCACTTGAGAACCTCCTCTGGCTAGCCTGACTGGCAAGGCATACTGCATCTGGGACTTAGATAATAGAGGGACAGTGGTGTCACCTTCGACTTTGCAGGGCAGTTCTGGGAGTGTAGGCTAGGCGCCAGTTCTTGTCTTTATTGCTGCATAGCACAGGGAGGGAGAGCCAGGGGCACCCCTTTCGTCCTCTGCTCCTCACCAGGCCTGCAGGGGAGGGTGGCCAATATGGGGAAAACTTGGTGTTGGGAAGGTCCTGCAAGGAGCCCGTTTGCAGATGGAAACCAGCACAGAGGACATCTGCTCCATCCCTTAGCAGAGACTTGAAAGGAATGTGCCGGTTACCTGCTACACCTGTGCTAGGCAGTGATAGGTTGACAGACAGGAGGCTGCATTCTACCAGATCATGAGAAGAAATACCCTAGGTGGGGAAATAGAGGAGCCTAGGGCCATGGGAGCATTGGGAGGCCAGTGAAGACTGCCCTGGGGAGAGCTCAGTACAGGCCTGAAGACAGAAGGAGCCAGCTGCACGCAGCTGGGAAGAGGGGCATTCCAGGCTGAGGCACCCGCAGATGCCCTCCTACGCCCACGGCAGAACCAAGTGTGCAGCTTTGTGGTTAGAGAGGAGAGCCCGCTTTGTGGCACCTGATGGAGTGACTGGTGGTGGCAGCGGGCAGGAGGATGCGTTTTATTGTCAGCTCCACAGGAAGCCATTGGAAAGTAGAGGGAAATGACCCAGTTAGGGTTCTTAAAGATGATTTGAGGCACGGGAAACTGCAATTCTCATTGCCCCAGGTCAGGAAATGATGGCTGAGGGAGGGAAGATTGTGTTTTCGCTGTAATTTATTTTGTTCTTTGTAAATTTAGTGTGCACACATATCAGCTGTGCCCCAAACCCGTTTGGCAGAAGAGCTTAGAACCTGGAAGAAGTGAAAAAAACTGATACATGCATGCTGTATAATACAACTTGGGAAAGGTAATTAATATGTATATATAGGGTTTTTTGTTTTAAAATGTTTTAAATTACACTGTGTGTGTGTGTGTGTGTGTGTGTGTGTGTTTTGGTAGTAGGGACGTGTGGGTTGAGGCATTCCTGTGGAAGAAAAAGATGACCTCAGGCGGAGACTGACTTGTGGGGAGGGAAGGGTGGGGCAGGTAGGGTTCTGGAGAAACTTGAGGGAAGGTGAGAGTGACTGGATTAGGCTGGGCCCGTTAGGGACCATCTGGAGGTCTCACCTGCTTAGTGCTAACTCTGTCGTAGACCTGTAATCCAGGTTGCCAGGACGGGTGAAGAGACCTTGCTAGACTCAAGTCCACCTGCAACCTTACTTCCGGTTGGGAAGAGACCCAACCTGGGCCTTTTGCTGGGAAGTCAGCTGAATTGAGAACTGTGAGAAGGGCCTCGGGGCCAAGCAGATGTGTGCCAAGTGTCATCTCCAGTCCTTTATCTGGGCTGTGAGGCTGCCAGGTAGCTATTGGCCTGAGCTACCCCGATCCTTCCTGGGGACCGGGATCTTGCCTTTGTGGGGCTGTTGCTGGCTCATATGCACTAAGTTTCTTCCAGAGGTTTGGGGCAGCCTTTCTTGGGCTACTATGGGTAAGTTTTCAAGAAGCTGATGTCATGGTGAGAGAGGACTCTGTAGCTCCTGTTCTGCCCTCCTACCCTCAGCTCACTGGAGGATGAAGCTCAGGGTTTGAAAAGGCCTCTGTCCCGGGAGGGCTGCCCCCTTGAAGGGCAGATGTTCTTCTGTTTGCTCCTGCCTGAACTTGCTGCCATGCTCCCCCATTCTTAGTCCCCTTCCTGGAACATGAAAATGTCAACCAGGGTGGCTGTCACAATGCCTGTTACCAGATGGGGAACCAGCACCCACAATCTCCCGGATGCAAAGGCAGAAGGCAAGTTTGGAATGCTGGTTTTTGTCTGGTACCCCTCTTCTTGAGTGTCTCTTCCTTAGTCTTTTGGAAGACTTGGGTAGGAGATTTGTCACTTGCCATTTGGGCAAGGCCATCTCTACCCTTTGCTACTGTCCCCGAAGTGGGTATGTGTCACCATGCTTTCTTTTTCCTTCCTTCCTTCCTTTCTTTTTCTTTTTTTTTGTTTTTTGTTTTTTGTTTTCCGAGACAGGGTTTCTCTGTAGCTTTGGAGCCTATCCTGGAACTGGCTCTTGTAAACCAGGCTGGCCTTGAACTCACAGAGACCCGCCTGCCTCTGCCTCCCAAGTGCTGGGATTTAAGGTGTGCACCACCACCACCCAACCCACCAGGTTTTCTTAAAAGGCACAAGTATCCTCCTAAGCATGCCTGGTCTATGCCAAAAAGACACGAGACCCCCTGCTCCTCCAGGAGAATTCAGGGCCTCATGGCCCAAGATTGGCAGGAGGGTTTCCCAGCTTTAAGAAGACCTCTCCTCTTTTATGGCTTGACATCTTTGGGTTGGCCTGGAGGCCCCTAGGACTGTCAGGTTTTGATACTGTCAAGAGGGACCCCTAAGTCCCAAGGGAAGTAGCTAGATGGTGATCAGACCTTTAAGCTGTGAGGGGAGGGAGTAGCTGCTTTCCCTGCTTCGCTCCAAGAACCAGCCTCAGCTTTAGCTGTGCAGTGTGTGGCCTGGTATCCTGGTGCCCACCTGTGCCCACCTGGGACCAGATCAGCTAGAAGAGCCCCAGATACGGAAGAGGCAGGGGCTTATGGAGTACAAGACAAGGAAGAAGTGGGGACAATATCCCCAGCCGCTGCTTTTTTCCTAAGTAACATTCTTTAGCTAGGCCCTCTGGTCTCTTGGAAGCTGTCAAATCTGGAATTTCGTTCTCCAGATAGGAACCCACATCCCACCCCCGACTCCCACTGGCCTTAGCGGGAAGCCTCCTAAACTGTCCTTGGGGATGGGCAGGGTTGGGGGAGGAGCATTATTATCTCCCCCTTCACTAGCCCCACAAAGCACAGGGTCCTAGGTAAGGAAGGGTTCAGTGCTCTGGCTTGAGAGAAGAAAGGGGAAGGGGCAGCCCAGGGCGCTCCACAGGCGCCTGGCCCCTGGTGTTTGGGTCTGGAATCCCCGCCAGGCTTGGCTCCCTGGGGACCCGCCCCAAGGCGGCCGGCCCGTCCTCCAAGTACCCCGCCTCCTGCCTGCGGAACCGGCCGGGCGGAGAACCGGTTCCTGTGGGCCTCCCCGCCCCTCGACAGGACAAGGGGTTGGCGCCTGCGCGGAGTTGGGGCTGAGGCAGGTGCCTTGGGGTTCAGGTGTGACAAGTGGACGGAACAGCTGATGGGAGTGGGCAGCCACAGTATCTGGGTGACCCTCCTGAGGCCAACAGCCTTCGCTGACTTCTTTTTAAAAAGTGTGACCCATTAATGAATGCTTTTTCTAGCCTTTTTCTGTGCTGGGGAAGTACCCCAGTACCTTGCTTGACTATGCTAGGCAAGCAGGCTAGCTCTGAGCCACATACTCAGTCTTTACTAGTCTCTAAAAGTAGCATCGGCAGGGGCAGTTACTTTTGTTCCCAGGGTGAAAGAAGGATTTAAGATATATCTAGATTTGCCAGTGAGACAGAGAAAGGAATGGATGTTTCCATGGGTGACCTAGAGGAGTTAGGTGCTGAAAGGAACTTCCTACCGGGGGAGTGACCTTTACAGGACAAAGGACCTGGGTGGGAGACTGGGCCAGGCCAAAGGCCCCTGGAACACTCAACAGCACTGACTGAGGAACTCCCCAGTTCTCCAGCTTTGGCCTTTGTGCAGGGACGCTAGACCAGATGAGTCTGGTCCTCACTGCAGGTTTTCTGTGACTCCCTCCCAACCATCCCTCCCAACTCCCAGCTCTGCTAAAGGAGTCTGAAGTTTATTCAGCCAAGCCAGGGAGGCCTAGGTGCTCAGCCTGTGTCTTGAGGGGTGGGGTAGGGTGGGGAAGGTAGGAAGGAAGGATAAAGGCTGGCCGGAAGCCTGTGTGCAGGTACAGTGGGGCTCTGGGAGCAGGTGGGTGTTGGGTGGGACAGGCCTAGGAAGTGTTGAAAGCAGAGGGAGTGACCTGCCGCTCCTTGGCTCAAGGAGCCCTCTCCTCTTTGAGTGGCGGGGAAAGGGGTTAGTGTTCTGTTTACAGTGAGGCAGGACGGCTCAGTGAAACAATCTGGGGAGAGTCGGGACGTCACTGTGGCTTTCATGTTGTACTTCCCTTTTCCTTTCTGTGTGTGTGTGTGCATGTGTGTGTGCATGTATGTGTGCATGTGCGTGTATGTGTGTGTGTGCGTGTGCATGTGTGTGCATGTGTGTGCATGTATGTGTGTGTAGTGCGTGTGTGTATGTGTAGTGCATGTGTGTGTATGTGTGTATGTATGTGTGTGTGTGCATGTGTGTTTAGTGCATGTGTGTATGTGTAGTGCATGTGTGGGGTCAGAGAATAACTTCCAGGAGTCGGTTCTTTCCACCGTGCCGGTTCCAGGGCTTGAACTCTGGTCAGCAGGCCTGACGGGAAGTACCTTCACTTGCTGAGCCGTCCTTGCCTTCATTCTTCTCTGTTCTGTGAGGTTTCCCTGGTCTCTGATCAGTGTTCCTCAGTGTGACACCCAAATTGGAGGGTGACTTTGACTACGTGTATACATGAAGTTGGGGGAGACCAGAGTTGAGGGGAGGGCTTGTGTTCAGGTGTGGCGCATTTGGCTGTTTAGAGAGGGCTGTGGACGTCTGCCTACGTGGACGTGGGAGTAGGACTCCTGAAGCCCAGTCAAGGCTGATTCGGCTTGAAGCGCTTAGATGGGCCCCCAACACAGTCAAAGCATGGAAAGCTTGCCCACATGACTCCAACACATGGGTCTTGGCATCACAGCCCTCCTGCCTTTCCCCATCAGAACTCACCCATCCATGTCCTTCACGGGGAGCGGTCCACTGGGCTGTGGTCTCTAAGGAGGTGACTGCCTGGTCAGATATGATCAGTCTAGGCACACGGAGTGGTGGCATCTTCACAGGTCACACCATAAGGCATTAACCTGGACGCCAGCTGGGGCCTCATTAATTCAAAGATGATGTTAAATGGGGCTGAGGCTGGGGTGGGGCTGGCTTTACTGTGTGTGTTAATTCGTAGGGACTGGAGGGAGCCTTCCATTCTAGGAGAGCTTGGGCACAGTGTCATACCAGGAGACTGAATGCCCAGTCTTGTCTCTCCCAGGCAGCATAGGGACAGCATTGCCAGCCAAGCTGGCATGAAATGCTTGTGTCGCTTTTGTTGCCCTCCCCAAACCCAATAACAGTGTCAACTTGGGAGATTGTTTGACCGGAGCTGCTGGGCTGCCAGGACCAGGCAGGTGCTGTGGAGCCCCATGCAGGGGTCAGGCCACCAGTGCCAGCACTTCAGGATAAACAAGACTGCTCGCAGGCTGGGGGGAGGGTGGCCACGGAAGGCAGGAGTGGAGAACAGGTGTCTCAGGAGCTGCTGACACAAAGGGCCTCTTGTCCCATCCTCCCGCCTCAAGGGGCAGCCCCCTCCCTCGCTGGGGCCTGCCCGGAGTCCAGTGACCAGGTCAGCTGAGGTGCTGTCTCTGAGCCTGTGTTTATGCTTGCTTAAGACAGATCCTGCAGGTACACCCCAGGAGGAAGGGGACCTGCCTCTACATAATCCCATAGCCCAGATGTCTCTATGGGCCTGAGTTTCCCCTGCTGTGGCAGTGAGCCCAAGAGGATTTAGGAGGTGAGAAGAATGTACCTGGAGCTTGGCAGGGGACTGGATGTAGTGAGGGTCAGAAATCCATGGGGAGGCTGGAGGCTGAGAGAGCTAAAGTGACAACACCCCCTCCCCGCCTCCTTTCTCCTTCACCAGAGACCTTTACTGACCTTTACTGCTGGCTGTTAGGGTCTGGGCAGGCAGTGCCAGCAGTCTGGAAGGCTCTGCAGCCAAGCTAAGTCTTGTTTCCTCAACTGTAAAATGGGGGTGATAACAGTAGTGCCCATCTCAGGCTCTGGTGGTGCACCTGTGGAGAGGTGTGACCCACCCTGGCATGCGTTAGGAGAAGCCTGCTGTTGATGCCAGGCTTGGGAGAGTATCTGCAGGAGCCTGGGAATGAGACAGGAAACTGGTAATTACAATCTGGTTAAGTACTGTAGAGCTGGGCTGCCCAGGGTTTGTCCATAGGATGCCTCTTGTGGGTAATTGACTCTTCCAGGAATGCTAGGGAAGGGCTTGTAAGGGGGTGGGGGTGGCCTTTCAAAGGGGTTCTGAGTGAAGTGTAGGCTGCTCAGGAATGTAGGCAAGGCTCTTTGACGAGGCCGGCTGGCCCGTGAGCCAGAGCACAGAGGGTGAGTTATGGTGTACCTAGAGTGCTGGGTAGGGAGGTTGACAGCCAAGGGGTGGCCTGGGCCATCCTGAAGGCATGCGAGGAGTTAGGGTGCGCCCCAGGCTCCGCTCCTCCAGGTCTGTCCCCTCGGTATCTTTTGTCCCCCAGCTCTGTGTCATGGTAACACCATTGCTCACTCGGGGTTAGTGTTCAGTTTACACAGAGGGATAGCTTAGTGAACCACCTGGCGTGGGGGTGGGGTGGGGTGGGTGGGTCAGAACATCTTATACTTTTAGGTTTTGAGTATTGGAGTATTGGTTTTGGGCTGTTTACCTAGGGCTTTTTTTTTTTTTAAACACTTGCTTCTTCTTTATCTATAACCCAGTATTTCCCAGACAGGGTTTGCGTGAGGACAGAGGAGCGTGGCCAGGTGTCTGGTGCCCCGTGAGTGAGGGTGCTCCCTGAGGTAGGGTTACAGCCCGACCTTGTCATGTCTGTAACAAGGAAACAATGGTCTGTGTCTCCTTCGGCTTTCTAGAGCTGGTGGGCCAGGCTGGGAGGTCCAGGACCCCTGGCTTCGTTGAGGCTCTGCCACATCTGCAGGACTGAATGGAGAGGCCTCTTCTCACGAGTGGATGTCACTAGGCAGCAGGCTCTGCGTGGGGCTGCCCAGAGCTGCTCCTGTAGGGAGGAGCCCCCTGGCACCACCCTTGTAGTTTTATGTGTTGGGGGTGGAATATGGGACTATGGGCACCCTGGTCTCGTCCCGCGGCTCATGGTCTGCCACCGAGTCTCTTGGAGCTTTATTACTTTGAAAGGCTGGCGCTGAGACGGCCTGGGTGTATATAGAACTTTCTGGGCTCCAGAGCCTCCACCCCAGTGGGAAAGGCACAGTTCAGCCCCAGACAGGCCCAGGCAGGACCTGATACCTGAAGTTGCCTATCCATGGGGCAGGCCATCTATCATCCATTCTGTCTGGATGACAGGACCCTTTGGGTCTCCCAACAGCCGCAGATAGCCCATCCTGGACATCTGGAAGAGCATGTGCTAGGCAGGGACCACTGTTCCTTCCCTTGCCTCTGTCGCTTGCCACTGTGGCCGAGTCCTTTCCTCTTCCTCCCGAGCTATGTTTCTTAGGTGTCCACGGGGTGAACAGAGGCCGAGGGTGAATGCTGGGGAATAGGGCTGGGATACACACTGCTTGGGGTTCACAGGGCCAGGTGGTGAAGATGGATTTGTAGGACTTCCAAATGCTGCACCAATGAGCAAGAGAAGAGGAGGGAGCAATAGGGAACCCTGGTCTTTCCCTGGGCCTTGTCCATATTTAATGTGGTGTGAGTGCAGCCAGCACAGTGAACTCACATTTGCAGCCGGTGGCGTCCAAACACTTAGGTCCTGTCAGTCTTACACTGCTGCCTTCCTCTCCCTCCCCATTGCAGAGTGCTGACGCTCAGCCTCTCCCACCATAATGGGGTCAGGGCACCCTCGGTCTGTACTCAGCAGGTATTCAATAAATGTGACATAGAGCAGAATGACAAGGAGAAAACATGTACGGTTCCCATGGCCTGGCTTGTGCCCCTGAAGGAAGGCTTCATGGTGAGGGGTAGCTCCTACAAGGGAGGGTGTCAGAGGCAGAGGTGAGCCAGTGGGAACCGGTTTCTCTGGAAGTGACTGGCCTAAGGGAGCCTTTTTCTCCTCGGCAGGGATGAGTGTTGAGCTTGAGAGGCACAGAAGAGGAAGAGGCCTTTGGTTTTGTTTTTCAGACTGAGTCTGTTAATAGCAATTTATTGCATCCGGGTCTCCAGCCAAGCACATTCTGTTCTCCAGTGTTGGGGGAAGACACTTGGACATGGCAAGGCTAGACAGGAAGGAGGGAAGGGATCAACAGTTGTGATTGACGATGGTGTCTTGGGCTATGGAGGCGCCAGCTTCACCACAGGCTAGCTTGAGCCTGGCCCGCATAGGGAGGGAAGTAGGGTGGGCAGCTCCGTTCTGCGCACCATGCCTGACGACCTTGGACTTGAGCTGTTTGTCAAACGGAGTTTGGGCTGTGATGCTGGCCAGGCCTGTAGTATATTCCTTGAGCACTCTGGAAAGACCCCTATAAGGAAAAGGAGGGCAATCATGTACGAGAACTTCCAGAAGAGGGGGAGCAGGCAAGATGGCCACCCCCGTGGAAAGAACGGTGCTTGAGCAAAACACCCCCTTTTTGCAATGTGCTGAGCTAGTGGAATTTCAGTCGGTGGCTGCAAGATCAGGCTAGAGATAGAGGTCTGTGGGCGCCTGGGCTGTGTGTGTGCAGACTGTCATGTGGGGGTCCAGGATGGGGAGAGCAGGGCTGGCATCCGGGGTGCCCCTTCCTCAGAGCTGCTCTCCCTGCTTCCCAGGGCACATCACTGGTCCCCACTGCTGGAGGCAAGTCCCCCACCTCTCTCCTTCTCTCAGGTAAGCGAACTTTATTTTTTTCCTCGTTTTTCTGTTGTGCTCACTATGGTCCCCACACTTCCTTCGAGGTCATTCCCAGAAGCCGTGATTCCAGACTCCCTGATTTTCAGAGCTCTGCTCATGGCTTTGGTTTGGGGAGAGCGCTGGCTTTCGTGCACCTCAGCTGTATCCCAAGCACGGTGCCTCTTGATGGTTGTCGAAGGTCAGGTTCACTTTCTCGCAAGCACACTGTGTGTTAGGCCATGGGAACCTGGACATGGTTTCTGCCTGTGAGGTTTGGCCCTGTCGTTCCCAGGGACAGCTAGTGGCCTCTTCACTCTGAGGCCAGTTGCTCGTACCCTGTTCTCTGACCTGACTGACAGTCATCCATCTCAGAGCCCAAGGCTCCTGCCAGGGGCTCACAGAAAGACAGACACAGCTTACACAGCTCATGGCACCAGGCGTCATTGCACATGGGCACCCAGCACATCAGCATAAGTGGGACACCGCAGTCCAGAGACTCGGGAGGGAGCCCTGCTGGGTCGGAACAGGAGCAGCGGGCACTGACGTAGACTGCAGTTAGACAGAGCCCACCCAGTTCAGCCAAACCTTGGACCCGGTCACAATACTGGGATGTTGACAATGGGGAAACAGAGGGTGTTTCAGAGACTTTCAGAATGGGTGGCTGCTTCATTCAGGCTGAAGTGTCTCTTATTGTCCCGTGAAAATTCCCAGCAGTCTCTGTTCCTTTCCTTTCCATTTGAAGCCATTGTTGCTGCCTTCTCTTTATGCTGAATGGTGGGTGACTGAGGGGCCTTGCCTTGACTTGCCAAGGCTGGTGGCTCTAGGGTGTGGGGCTCTGGCTAGCAGTATGGGAGCCATGTTGCTCTGACCATCTGCCTGACCCATGCTGCCCATGCCTTTTTTTGGATGTCCCCCCACTTTGTATAAGACTCCTGTCTGTTCAGGCTTTCTGATGAAGGATGAGTTGGTGTTCCAGGCCGATCTCTCTATGTCCTTTTTAGAAGGCAACAGTTTGGTGGTCAGCGTTTGCGAGACAGGGTCTCCTGTAGCCTTGACTCGTTTGGAGCTATGTAGTTGAGGATGAACCGGGCAGGTGTGTGTTACCGCACCCTGCCTGGTTTGATGTATATTTTGAAATGAATGATATTCCCATAAACTTTACCAAGACTTCATTATGGAAGGATTGAGTGAGATGGGAGAGCAGGCAACCAGGCTCGGCCCTCTCTGTGGGATCTGAGGAAGTTGTGTGGGGGCGGGGAGAGGGGGGGTTAGCCTTCCCAGTGTTCCTGGAGAGAGACCGAGTGAGAGGCCATGTCAGACCTGGGTTTGTGTCCTGACTCTGCTCCTTCCAAACTATCATTTCTGGCAGATATCGGAATGCCCCTCCCCTTGAAATTCAAGGACAAATTTATTAGATGGTTTAAAGGGGGGAAAAAACCTGGGCAGGCAAGCTGTGAATCTCAGCAGCTTCTTGGAGGAGGAGGAGGAGGAGGAGGAGGAGGAGGAGGAGGAGGAGGAGGGAAGGGAGGGTGGGTACCGTAATCTCAGCAGCTTCTTGGAGGAGGAGGAGGAGGAGGAGGAGGAGGAGGAGGAGGAGGAGGAGGAGGAGAATAGAGAAGGGAAGGGAGGGAGGGTACCATACCACGCGATTGGAGTGAGGCCGTCACAGAGGTCAGCTTAGCCACATGGCTGACAGGCAACCACATGGCAGGGAGAGCAGCTTTAGAGAAAAAATAAGGGGTACCAAAGAACTAGAGAAATCTTTCTTACAACAGAGACAGAAGAAAGGAAACGTTAATAGTTTTTTGAGGGATTCAGAAAAGCAGGCCGACTGTGGAAGCTGCATGGCTGCCAGCTTGGAAGCTGTTTCCTTAGAGCAGAGTTTTCTCACAGTAGGAAAAGGAACAATAAAAGATAAGAGGATTCAGCGAAGTGGTATGTGTGTTCTTGTTTGTCATTTGTGGCCAGCGTGGAGGCGGCTGGCCACTGAGACTGGTCCTGGGCAGGGATAGAACTGTCCTCGGCCCTCACAAGGTGCCAGCTGATGCTCCGATCGGGCTCTCTGGAAGATCCAGTAAAAGAAGAGTACCAGGCGTGGTGGGCACAGACACTGGCGCCTAGAATGCCTCCCTCAGCTTTCCACAGCCTTCTTCCTTTGGACCCGGGAAGCAGATGCACCATACACCTTGGTCCGGTTCCCCTATGCCTCAGTGTTTTTTTAAGTGCTGGCCACCAGTGCAGGCGTGGGGAGGAGTCCCAAGAAGGCATATGTGAGAGGTGCCTAGGATGGAGCCTAGACTGGAGGGATCTCGTCCAGGTTTTTTTTTTTTATATTATTATTATTAATTTATTTATTTTTATTTTTTCTTTTATTTTTATTTATTTATTATGTATACAATGGTCTGCCTGCATGTGTCCTTGCAGACAGAAGTTGGCACCAGATCTTATTACTGGTGGTTATGAGCCACCATATGGTTGCTGGGAATTGAACTCAGGAGGACCTCTAGAAGAGCAGTCAATGCTCTTAACCACTGATCCATCTCTCCAGCCCCCTTGTCCAGGTTTTGATGCTGTTAACTGACTGCTGTGATCAGTGATATCGGTGTCCATTTCACCCAGAGAAAACCAAGGTGGGAACTGCTGTCCTAGGCACCCCAAAGCTGGGTGGGGGCATGGGCTCTGAGAGAATAAAGGTACAGGGTAGGTGTGACAGAAATGACAGCTCAGCTCAGAGACCATTGCCTTTCCTGTCTCACCAGGTAAGATGGTAGTTTTCACCAGACAGAACCGACAAAGGCCTGGAACTCCCCCACACAAATGCTGGAAGTGGGACTGTGTGTTATGAATAATTTATAATAGTCGACAGCCTTTAGCTGACCTTTGGACCTTGATGCTGGACGCTCCAGGAGCCTGGCAGGAAGTGAAGGCTGCAAGGCTATATGGGTCTGCTTCCTCCTTGGACCATGGCGGCAGGGACATGTCTTGCTGGGTCACTGTCCCTGCTACCTGAAGATTCCACGGGTGGCAAGGGTTCATTGGAGCTGGGGGAGTCCATAAGAAGTGGCCCCTTCACAGAGGGTCTGGTCTGTGGTTTGGGATTTGGAGTCAGACTGAGCCGAGGTTGCATCCTCCTCCCTCCTCTTAGCTTCGATTTCCTAGTCTGTGAAATGTGTCTGGCTTGCAGGCCAGCCTTGTTAAAGAATCCCGTGATGTCCAAGCCACCGAGGATGACTATGAATGGGGACAGACACAAAACCATAAGCTTACTTAAAACTTCATGGGGTTATTGTTGATTCTTTTGTTTGTGTTTGTAAATTGGTTGTGTGGACTTTGTAGATGACAAGACAGCATTAAAAGGCTGAACACCAGCCAGGCGGTGGTGGCGCCGCCTTTAATCCCAGCACTCAGGAGACAGAGGCAGGCAGGTCTCTGAGTTCTCTGCCAGCCTGGTCTACAGAGTGAGTTCCAGGATGGCCAGGGGGACACAGAAACCTTAGCTCCAAAAACCAGAAAAAAAAAAATGGTTGAACACGTTGTTTAGTTTGAGATCACTGAGTCGATGAATGTCTGCTAAGTCCTCCCCCATATGGCCTGCTCTGGGCTGCACCCTCATGGTGGAAGGTAGGACCTTAGCATACCATCTGCCCTCACCTCCTCCCCCACTTTGCATCAAAGGCCTGAGCCCTCCTCACCTATAATTTCATCACTGGGAGAAGTCATGACTGGCCCTCTTGCAAATGTTCTGGTGATGTGTACAGACCCTTGGGAACCAAAGGTGTCCAGGTCATTGTGAGTGTATGGGACTGAAAATCGTCCAATGTATCTAGTTCATGGACCCATCACTGAGGCCCCGGGCAGCAAAAGGGTGTTTTGACTCCTTTTGTGTGAAGGTGAAAGCTGAGGCCTGAAGACCTTCGGAAGCTCAGCCAGACCTGCACAGTGCTGGGGGTGGGGCTCGCATCTGGGCAGGCTCCCTCTAGTACACTCTGAACCCTCCCTCCACCCTTCCAGGCCTCCACAGCTATTTTCCTCGGCTGTGTAGGCAGATCTGCTACGGTGGATAGTCTCCAGCCGGGAGGAAGAGGGTTAAATTCTTCTCAGTGCAGAGCTGGGCACTTCTAGTGACCCCATCCTTGACCCCCTGCCCTCCCCTGGGTCAGGTCTGCAGCTGGTGGAGGAAGGGAAGCCATGGGAGGAGCCTCAGTGGTGAATGAAGAGGCTAGTGGCTTTCCAGGCAGCACAGGAGGTCCCTGGGGCTCTTGGGGTGGGCGGCCACCTGAGGGGGCTGCACTCTTAATTAAACACAGCAGACTCTGATGTGTTCTTAGTCACGAGAGAATGAGTGGTTTTTGTCAGTAAAATACCAGATTAAAAAAAAAAATCAGAAAATGGGACTGGAGAGATAGCTCAGCAGTTAAGAGCACCAGGTTGCTCTTCCAGAGGACCTGGGTTAAGTTCCCAGCAACCACATGGTGGCTCGTAGCCATCTGTAATAGGACCCAGTGGCCTCTTCTGCCGTGCGGGCATGCATGCGGGTGCAGCACTCATGATGTACAGAAAATACAAAAATAAATACATTCTTCAAAACAATCAGAAAATTAAGCATCAGATGGCCCCTTAGGGCGAGTAGGACTTCGGGGCTGGTTTGTCACTGTTGAGAAGGAAAAAGATACCCAGGTGGCCAACTGCAGCCAACGACCATGACCTCAAATGGATGATTCCTGAAGATTGGGACGGCAGTGGTCCTGCCCTCCCCAGGGGGTCTTCGGCACAGGGCAGCTGCTGTGACACTCACTACTCTGTCCTGAGTCCTCGGTAGACAGTGGGGCACCCGGAAGTAACCTTATTTCACAGCCCAGAGTATAGAAAATACAGCAGGCTGTTCTGGAAACCAGGGGTCAGTCTAGCTCCAACTGGTCACCCTAGGGGGACCCCTGAAGAAGGGGTTTCCGGGAAAGACAGCGTTGAGGGAAGACAAAATATCTTCTCTCCTAGGC